GGCTGGCGAGGGGCTGGTTACCTGGGGAGCTAGCAGGGCGCTTTGGTGGTGGCTTCAGCCCCGGCGGAGCTGGCGACAGTCAGCCCTGGCGGCCGATGCCCTGGCAGAGCGGGGGCTGCAGGAACGGCCTGTGACGCCCCGGGGAAGGGCCGAGGGGGGGGGGAAGAAAGCACCGGAGGACTTTGTCGCTCCCGTGGGAAGTCGTGGCCTCGGCCACGAAGCCCTGCAACCCATCGGAGGGACCGCGCGGGCTCCCAGATGCTCGTTTTCTCGATTGACGGCTCTCGGCTCTGGACCCCCCCATGACAACGAGAGGCCAAATTCGTTGGCGAGCGCCCTGGGCTTTCTGCCATCTCCGTCAAGTCTGACAGCAGCTGCAGCTGCGTCGCTGCCTTCTGGCTTGTCCCTCCTGTCTTTATACAGTCCAGACCTATTTTCTTCCTTTCCCCTAGGTGCATGCCATTCGGGTGGCCACGGGGTAGTGGGAGGGGAAAAAGCCCACCTTCCCCTTGCGATTCGCTCTGCCGTCACTAAGAGGAGCGTCCCCGCGTCCCTGCGGCTCCAGGGCGCCTGTCCCCTTCGTCCCCTGGCTCGCCTCGGCAGCTCCGTGCCGAGTGCTGGGGAGCGAGCGGCCGCGGGGCAGACGGGGCGATGAGCCGCGTTGGACGTGGGTGACGCCACGGGAGGTTTTCAAGAGCCGTTTTCGTCCCGTACCCAAGAGCCCTCCAGTGTGTGCGTACCACGCAAGCGGCTCGGCGAACCCGCTGCCGAGTCTGCGTCCTGTGCCGTCCCTCTTTCCCGCGGCGGCAGCGATGCTCCGAGCAGGCGGCAGGTCCGTGTGTATTTTGTGCCTAGGTAGTCACTATTTAGGGGTGCAAACGGCGTGAAATCCCGCCTTGCGACAGGGCCAGAGGTATCCGAATGAATAGGAGCTGTCAGTAAGTTCCCAGCTCGGTGCCTGGCTGCACCCAGGACCAAGGCTTCGGGGTTGAAGCAAACATTTCCAGCCCTGAAGCCTGCCCCAAAGACTGCAGGCGGGAGTGAGGACGTGCTGGCTCCCCCGGGGACGCGGAGGCCGTCCTGGCATCCGGCGGGTCGACCGCTTTGCTCAGTGCTCCTGCACACGTCGTTCACTGTTACTTTGCACATTGGTAACTATTGCTTTTCTTCCCTAGGGAAACACAGGATACTCCACCACAAAAAAGGAAGAAGGAAAAGCAGGCCCTGGCATGGGAGGCTGCTCCCCCTGGGTTTCGCACTCCTGGGTCTGCTCAGGCTGGAAAGTCGGATTTGACCCAGCATGTTTTTACTCGCCGAAGCCTCCCTAGAAAGAGGGACTGAGGAAGTGGGCTCAAGCCAAGCACTGTGTGAAGCTGGGAGTGTATCTCAGGGAGGAAGAAACCCTGTTTTTTACTACTCTGTCCCTAAGCAGCTGGCACTAGCTGTTTTGGAAGTGGGATATTCCCTACCTTTTGGTTTTGCCTGCTGCGGCTTGTGTGACTTCCCCAAGCTCGAGGGTTACATTTGTATTTAATCGTAAATGAGAATGTAAAACATTTGTAATTTTTTTTTTTTTTGGTAGGCCCAGCGCCATGCCACTTGACTTGGCTGATTTTCTGTGTGAATCTCTTCCCGTTTTGGGCAGAAGTACCATCAGCCTTTCCTACATGAAACCCTCATGAGCCCCACACTTTGGGGTTCCACCTCTCACCGCTTGTCCCTGCAGTTTGCAAGGACGCTGGGGTCATTGATCTGCTTTAGGGACTAACTGAAAGCATTCAGGGCTAGAGAAACCATGGCCCAGACCTCAGCTGCCCTGGCATTCGGCTCTGTGCCTTTGAAGTCACTGTCAATTTACAGCTGTTGAATATCTGGCCAAAAGTGTGGCATTGGCAGAGAAAAAAAGTCCATCCGGGAAAATGGAAAAAAAAAGGTATTTTCTCCTTTGCCACGTTATAATTCAAATATGATGGAGAAGATTAAAGTGGTGCAATGAGCCCAGGATGAGAGCTCATAAATGAGTAATGCTTCCCTGGAAGCGGAGGTTGATGACAGAGGTCTTGGCAGGACTAAAAAGGGCTTCACCCGGGGAGAAAAGCACCCTGGCTGTGTCTGGAGGACTGTGGCTTCCCTGCTTGCACCAGGGTTTATGCAGAGATTTAGATCTCAGCTGGCAGAGAAACTAGTTCAGCAGATTGCAAGGGAGAAGAGAGGGGAAAGATGCTGTAGAGCTGCCTTGTGAAGCCTGTGACCTCTCTGTTGCTCAAGGTGGACATGCATGGCGCACAGCAGCTCTCAATTTAAGCCGAAGAGTTTCGAAGTTTCCAAAGGTTTTGGGTAATCAGTTTTCATTCAAATGAAAGCACTGGTTCCCCAGGCAGTCCAGAGAAACGTAGCCTGCTCTCTGCGGTTCTGCAGATGTCTCCGCTCAAGGAGGCTTGAGGATGCTCGCTGAAGCAGGGCAGCGGCTCAGGAGTGGTCTGAGTGATTCCCACTCCCAGGAACCCCGCGTTTGTGAAGGGACCTTGACCCTTTCAGGCAAAACGTTGCTTCCAGTACTATCAAATGACATGAGATCTGGCTTTGCTACTCCACTGGGGTAATGAAACCCAAAGGAGCTGCTGTTCAGGTAGGTCACTGTCACTAAAGGATACCATCTCCCTTCTCCTTTTGCATGACGGGTAGAGAGACCCAGTGAGAACCAGCCCGAAAGCGCTGCGTCGAACCATAGCTACCACGGAGCTAGGGCCTGGCTCGCTCTGTGCAAGGCATGCACAATACACAGCCTGGGGACCAGCTGATACCGAGAGATTTTCAGGAGCAGCTTGGAATTTTAGAACATGCATTTACTGTTCTTGCAGAGCTGCTATATTTTTCCTTTCCTCTGCAAACAAGTGCAGAATCAAACTGTGGTCGGTACAGTTTATAGCAGCTCTTGATTGCACAGACCTGATAGTCTACTGCTGAATGCAAACCTTTGCTTGTCCCAGCTTCCCCCTTGTCTGTCTAGGTGGCCGTGACCTGACAGAGCTAATGACCTGCTCTCGTCCTCCCCTGAGACATGGTGGATGTGCAGATGGGAATTTTCTAAATGCTTTAACAGTAGCTGAGCTCATGCAAAATGGTATTTTTACTTTGCCCTTCACATGCCTCCCCTTGCCCTTGTCGCTCTGGTTTCCTTCCTGCTCTCTCCAGCTGCTCCTGCTTTGTCACAGCCTTTTCCCTGCCCTGCAAGCAGAAGAGGCTGCTGTCCTGGGTAGGTTTTAAAAAAGATGACAATAGAAGAAATGCCTGCTCTGAAGAGCTCCGCCGAAGCGGGGAGTGGTTCAGTGAATTCAGCTCATTACAGCATGTTCTCACAAATTTCTGCTGCCCTCTTATCAGACCATCAACCCAGTAGATCACCCTTCAGCTGCCATCAGGCACCGCTGTGTACCGCCGCAGTCCAAGCCTCCGTTAACTGCAGCCTGACTCACACTGTGTGGGAGAAAGTAATTATTTAAACCATGGCAAATTGGACCAGTAATAACCTTTCTGTCCATAACAGGAGCGATGGTTCTTTAAAAAATATATCTTAATTGATTTTGGATAATGACCTGGGCTTATCAGGGAGTGGGCAGCATAGGGGTGAGGAGAGGAGTGGGCGGATGGGGAATAGGGGGGTAGAAAGGAGAGGTGGCAGTTGCGTCCCGCTGAGCTGCCCTGAGCCGGCACGGCTGCCATCCCGGGAGCAGCGTGCTGTGCAGTCCTGATGAGAAATGGCCCCTTGCTCTCTGGATCCACCTGTCCTCATGTGCTTGCTCCACCTCTGAACTATTTCAAAATTTTGGAGGCTAAAATTTCCTTTTTCCAAAACTAATCTTTTTGTAGCAGCCGTGTTTAACTAAAGCAAGCTCAGCCCCTCATTCTGTGCCAGGCCTGGCCTGCAGGCAGGGACGCGGATAAGCAGCCATTCTCTGAGGGCATGATTAAAGGGAGAGCAAAATTGCTAATGAACTGGGCTCGCTCCGGCGCTCATCAGTAATTATTTCCCTTTCTTGGCAGGGGTTCTCCATGTCTGAGCGAGGGCTGTGCACACATATGGCCTTCCTGAGCAATGCATGGCACATGCACCCGAAGGCTTCCCTTCCTCCTCCTCCTCCCTCTGCCAGTCATTTCAGCTGCTTCCTCTTCGTTTGCTGCCCGCACGGTTGTGCGGTGCTGAGATGCTCTGCTGGGTTTGAGGAGGAGCAATTACCCGTTCCTTTTTGCTGTGAGAAGCATTTTGCTGTGAGCCAGTGAAGCATGCCTGATGGAAAGCGAGCTGGATCCAAAACTACGGTGACCTTCTCTGTAAGGCTTTGTTAGTCCACAGAGCTTGCAAAAGAGATGTGTGGGATTTTCAGTGTGAGGTTGCTGTGTGCCACTGCAGCATTTCAAGTGCCTTTGCTCGCAGTGCGGGGAGATGCCTCTGTTCCTGTCTCTTGCTGGGAAGAAAATGCAACAATGCTCTCTAGAGGCAGAAGAAGTCATGAAGAGGTTCGCTTTGCCCAGCTCTGCATTTGGCCGTAACCTCATGCTCTTTGCAGCTGCTCATTTCCCACGTAAACAGCAATGTCGGGGCCTTTTGGTGTCTTTTATCGCAGCTTGGCTTGTTTGCTTTTTCCCCCCATGGGCCAACTTCAGGTAATTATCACTGATGCTCAGAGGAGGCCTGGGAGCAGCGGGGATTAGAAGGCCAAGTGGGTGGTGGAGGAAGGGGGAATGGGCAGGATGCAGGTAAAGACATGCTGCACACTGCCAACACAGGGTACAGGGAATGTCTTCAGGGCTCATGACAGGATCTTGGAAGGAGAAGGCCCTCAAAGGACTAATTAACCCAAGGCCGTAGGCAGAGTAGGTGCAGCTGTGGGGCTGCATGGGGAAGGTGGAGCCAGAGGAGCTCAATCAGGCAGCAAAGGCCCCTTATAAAAAGCCAGACTGGGACAAGCACGGGAGGCTGGTTTGAGGGGGTGTGGGCTGAGCTGGTGATGGCTCAGGTGCTGAATTGTCTGGGGTGTTATTTGGGGTGGGGGCAAGGGACTGGTGGACTGATCAGTATCATGAGAGGAGCTTTTAGGTGAAGGTCCTTGGGCAGCTGAGGGCCTTTTGTGAGGGCAGAGCTGTGGCTGAGGAGATGCTGCAATTGCTCCTGGAGAGCTTTAGGTTGAAGGAGGCTCTTGGGGGCAGCCCAGGAGGAAGTGGCCCAGGTGCAACTCCTGTGGTGGGAGCTGGTGGCTAGGGTGTGCTGCAGCTTTGGAGGGGTGGAGGTGCCCTGTGAGTGACCGTGGAGAGCTGAGCGCCTGGGTCTGTGAGAAGAGACATTGGTCAAAATGGGAGAGCTGGCTCCCTGTCTTGGCAGTGGTGGCTCCTTTCTCCTGTCCCTCTGGAAGCTGTAGTTGAGACCAGCATCATGCTGAGTTTAAGTCCTCTGCCTGAGACCTTCCCTTGCTTATCAGGAAGGAGATGAAAAGTGTTTGCCAGCCACGTGGAAGAGGATGTAAGTGGTGGAGCACTGGGGAATGATGATAATCCAGACTGGGTTTTCTGGGTCTCAGTTCATGGGCTGGCTCTTCTTGGGGTTGTCCTTGTGAGGACTGTTGGCCAAGCAAAGTGCAGCCTGTCGAGTCAGTGGGGTCCTCTTATGTTTATTGTGGCTATTGGCCTATGGGATGTCTAGGGAAGGTGTGGAACTGCTGCCTCTGGAAAGAGCATGTCATCTCTGACCCCACAGAGGATGTGTTGAGGGAAGGATGGAGATAGCTTCTCTGTGTGCTGCTGGGTGGTCAGCCCAGCAGTACTGCTGTCTCGCTAGCTGGGTCTGAGTCACCTTGGCTAGCTGACTGTCCTGCAGCAAGTGTGGTCTGTTCCCACCTGTGGTGCATGGAGGCTACATAGAAAAGTTAAGCCTGGACCACTTGTAGCAATCATTTAAAAAAAAAAAACAAATAAAATAATTTGTTTTACTATCCTGGCCATTTCCAATTCACTTAATTACAGTCTGCCAATCCACCCTGCAATCCCTTATGTCATTGTTTGTTTATTTTATTAGCTCATATTGCACATCTTTCTGTAACAATGGCTCTACGAATAGCCTAGCCTGCTGAATTAATTGTGCTGATGAAGGGTTCAGGGTAACCTATAAAATGTACTCAGATCCTTTGAATAAAGGAAACAAAAAACAAATTATATTACTTAGCCGAACTGGGCAAATCCAGTGTCCCCAAGTGACCGGGAAGATGTGTGGCTTATAAAGAATTGACTATACGAAATGTTTGAAAAGCAGCATGAAATCTAGGTTGAGATTAGTTGTCAAAACCAACCTAACAAGTGGTCTAGCTTGTTAGGGTGAATTTGGCTGCCTAGGAAGGTTTGGATAAGGTCAAGTTCTGCAGGAAGATTTCTCAAATAAATGGTGTATGGTTACTAACTCCCATGGATGGCTGGGCTGCAAATCCCGGACAAGCTGCGCTTCATGTCCTAACTGTTGTGTGAGAGCTCATCATGGATGCCTGTGCCAACCTGTTGGAGACCAGGACAGAAAACTGCACTCCTTGCCCCATTCTGACATAGCTCTGCCTTCTCTCCTCCTCCTCTTTCACCCTTCCATTGCCCGTTCTGTGCTGTGGACTGGCTCAGCTATCCCAGGTGCCCCATGAGCATTCCCACTAGACAGACCTGCCTCTTCATCCCCTTAAAGAGGGAGAAGGGGAGCAAAGAGGTGAAAGCTGAAATGCTCAGATTTGACCTGTTATCATCATCAAAGGGACTTGGGCAGCTGGGTCAGTGTCTTAAGTGCTGTTGGGTGTCTCAAGTACTCCTGAGTCTTTAGCCTGAAGTGATATGCCCAAGTCATGTGGGTAGGGTCTAGCTAAGAAAGGAAAGATCTTTAAGCTTAATCCTGCTCTCCTTTCCTTTTTTCTTGGTGTGTGGGTGAAGATAATCCATCATGGAAATCTTTGTGCTCTGTGTATCTGTACAGCACCTGATGTGGGCAGGTTTCTTTTAGGAGATAACTTAATAAAGATAATTACAGTCACTGGCTGTACTTGGCAGGCTGAGAGCTGCAAAAAAACAGGACAGACAAATAAGAGTTTCCAAGTACTTATATTTTCCCACTTTCTTAATCCATTTCACTTCCATGGTAAATACGATCACCAAGGTTGTGAGGAATCGTGGGTTATGGACTTGGTATGGTTGTGTGGTTGGCATGGTTGTAATAGCTTTTTTTTTTTTAACTGCTTTGTGGATATCTGCTCATAGGATTGATAATATATAATATCATTAGATATCAGATAGCATCCCAGGCAGGTACCGTCCCGCCAGCCTCAGCCATCAGGACTTGGGCCTGAATTGGGGACGTCGGAGATGTGAGCGATTCTTTGCTCGCTCTCTCTCTCTCCTTAGGGGACAAGGAGCCGGAGCCTAATTGGGTTTCCTGCTGCGAATTCAAATCTAGCTGGGGGTGGTTCTGAGTACTGCTAGGTCAGGGCTCTGTCAGCAAAAACATATGTATGCTGTCATTGCAGGCATCTAGGCATCTGGACTGATGCTTATTTTATGGCTGGGTTTTTTTTTTTTTTTTTTTTTTTTTTTTTTCCTCCTAGTAACTTTTCTATTGGAAGAAAAGTCCCGTATTTCATATCTTCCATTATTCAGGAGCCCTGACGCATCTGGTCACATTTCCCAGATTTTGCTAAGTGCAGCCTGTGAGTGCAGCTAGGATGCGTGGGACTGTGCCCTTCCACTACTGTGCTCTGAGACTGCCAGAATATAGATCAGTGCTGAGCAGCTGAACGTATGGCTCTGGGGGATTAAACATGCAGATTAGAGATGCACAGAAGGGTGTTTTCTGCATTAAGTTGCACTAATTAATGCACATTTCTGCTTGGAAACCCTTGGTCTGGTTTAATTTAATGGAGTTCTGTGTTCAGTTAAAATCAATAGATATGACATGATTACAGGAATTGCTGACTTTCAAGCTAGAGGAGATCGCTATGATTATTTAATCTGATCTCCCACAAGGCCTAAAGCTGTACCCAGTAATTTCTACCGCAAGCCCACATTTGTCTGAGCTCTGCATATCTTTTAGAAATATGTTGCATCTTTATTCAAGGATGATGCATGATAGAGAACCCCTGAATGTCCTTGTCCTTCCAATGTTTGGAAATTAGCCTTGCAATTAAGGGCTATGCCTTGTTTCTTGTTCCAATTTTATCTTGTTCCAGTTTCCAGCACCTGGAGCTCGTTATAGCTTGCCCTACTGCATTGGAGATACCAGTTATCAGAAGAGCACCAGGCAAGAACATCCTAGAGAGCCTGCCAGTGGGAGGGGAGGTGAAAGGGAGATGACTGGATGATTTGGGCTCTTAAATGTGCCTGACAGGATGTTTTAAGAAGGAGACAGGTAAGAAAGGATCTTAAGGGAGTAGACAAAATAGTGGAGGTCTGCTGCAGGAGCTCTTCTCATTTCATGGATCTCAAATCATCTAGTCAATGATGCTGGTCACTGCAAACATCCCGGATTTGGGAGAAGGCCTAGCTGTCCCTTACTTGCTTAAGACTGCCTTACCTCTCACTCTGTTTTTCTCACCTTGTTAGAGTATTGTTACATGGCTGGATAACTAATGTATTGTTTTATCTCTGATTCTTGGGAGTCAATAGCACACGCAGCGTTATTATCAAGTGCCAAGGCTGTTAGTGTCGGAATAAACCTCTCCTTGAGGTGGCTGTTTGTCGCAACCCTGTTTGCTTTGCAGAGGCTGGGTGAGCTCGGCGGGGACGACGAGGTTGCGGGCACGCTCGTTGGGGAGCTTTGAGGATGGGTGACACGGAGAGCAGAGGTGATGCTCCGCTTTCTCCCACCCACTAATTACAGAGGCAGCAGCAGAAGCACGGAGCAGAGATGCAACCCCAGAGAGGTGCCTGGGGTGTGAAAGTGTGCAGTGCTAAAATTATGGGGAAATCTGATTGAACTGGCGTAGGATCAGCTGGCTGTCATTTTCCCCCAGAGTCGCAGTCCTATGCTGGGCCCTTGCTGAGTTTGTTCCTGTATGGAAGCAGCATCAAAACATATCCTTCTGCAGCAGTTATCTGCAGGTGCTGGGGTGCCTTCCAAAACCCTCACATGGGCTTCCCCAAAGCCGTGGTGCCATGCATGTGGTGTCCAGGCTGGGTTTCCCAGGGAGGGCCAGCCTTGGAAATGAGGGGAAAACAAGTTCCCAGTCCCCTGAGGCCAGGCTCCATTGCCTTGGCAGGGAGCGCTGCGGTGGAGAAGCTCTGATGGACAACCTCAGGCATCACCAGTCTTGCTC